CCCGAAAACCTGAAACCCGAAAACCCGAAACCCGAAACCCGAAACCCGAAACCCGAAACCCGAAACCCGAAACCCGAATCCCGAAATCCGTAAACCCGAAACCTGAATCCCGAAACCCGAAAACCCGAAAACCCGAAACCCGAAAACCCGAAACCCGAAAACCCGAATCCCGAAAACCCGAAACCCGAAACCCGAAAACCCGAAACCCGAAACCCGAAACCCGAAACCCGAAACCCGAAACCCGAAACCCGAAACCCGAAACCCGAAACTTAAATCCGAAACCCGAAACCCGAAAACCCGAAACCCGAAACCTGAAACCCGAAAACCCGAAAACCCGAAACCCGAAACCCGAAAACCCGAGACCTATACCCGAAACCCTAAAACCTTAAATTTCGAAACCTTTATACCTGAAAACCCTAATACTCGAAATTCCGAAACCCGATAACCTGTAACCTGAAACCCGAAACCCGAAACCCAAACCCGAAACCCGAAAACCCGAAACCCGAAACCCGAAAACTCGAAACCCGAAACCCGAAAACCCGAAACCCGAAAACCCGAAACCCGAAAACCCGAAACCCGAAACCCGAAACCCGAAAACCCGAAAACCCGAAAACCCGAAACCCGAAACCCGAAACCCGATACCCGAAACCCGAAACCCGAAACCCGAAACCCGAAACCCGAAAACCCGAAACCCGAAAACCCGAAACCCGAAAACCCGAAACCCGAAACCGAAACCCGAAACCGAAACCCGAAACCCGAAACCCCGAAAACCCGAAACCCGAAAACCCGAAAACCCGAAAACCCGAAACCCGAAACCCGAACCCCGAAACCCGAAACCCGAAACCCGAAAACCGAAACCGGAAAACCCGAAATCCGAAACCCGAAACCCGAAAACCAATTAATTACAATACAAAATAAACACCCGAAAAAAAACCACGCACTAAACCAAAAACTCATACTTCAAAAAAATACGCACTACACCAAAAATCACATTGAATAAAATGCACTAATCCGCACACACTGAAAATTGAGTGTACTTCTTTTGTAATTGAGTGTGCGTTTTTTATGTAGTGTGTGTTTTACACAAGAAGTACACTGAATTTTCAGTGTGTGTTTGACGGTGTAGTGAATTTTATTCAATGTGTGTTTTGGTGAAGTGCGTGTTTTTTTAGTGTGCGGTTTTTTTTCGCTTTGAATTGCTCAAGAACTACAATGGAAAATAAATACTAGAAAAAAATCCACACAATACATCGAAAACACATATTAAAAAAAAACACGCAACACACCAAAACACACACTGGAAAAAAAATACATATTGCACCAAAAACACACATTAAAAATAAAATATGCAATGGAGTTGGCTCTGATTTTATTACGTTCCCACAGACGGCGCCAATTAATCCGTTCGAAAAGAACGTGGCCCACTGACTTCCCTTGTCGCAATGAAACTGACCTGCGAGAAAGAGAACCGGACTGACGCTGGAGTTAGTACTCCAACGATCAAGTAAATATCAGATCATGCATAGTTTAGAAGGATTCTAAGTAGTGTGTAATTGCGTAGAAATCATAAAAAACCTCGCCCTCTTGTGGGCGCATGCTTCCATTTATAGCATCCATCAAGCTCGTTCTATGAGTGCCCTTGGATTCAGGCTGGGCGGGCCTGCGCCGGCCGCGTTATCGCTTTCGGCCGGGTGGCCCAAGTCATGATGATCTCTCTATATTTAGGCTTCTTGTATCTAGGTAGGACAAAGAACTCTTTGCTTGTCTTTCCCTGACCTCTTCGGTCCTGACGAGCTTCCCGAGCGCCGTTCTGAATCCGCGGGTCTTCGTCATCTTCTTTTGTCGTTTACTCCAGTCGAGTCTGCGGAGCTGAGTTGGGCTTTTCTTAATTGGGCCGATTAGGCCGTTCCTGAACCGCTGGCAACGAACTTTCGACTTTGGGCCTTGTGAATCAGGTTATGGTCCAAATAAGTATGAAATAAGAATTATAAAATAAAAATAGTACAAAGAGTTTTATGAATTTGTGTTTCTAACTTTTGAGTTTGACTTATTTTATATATCTTTATTAACTTGAAGGAAATAAGAGTTACAATTAAATATTTATAATAAATTTTTATTATTAAAAAGTCGATTGATCGACATTATTCGACCAACCAACTAAACTGAAAACCACTGATCGACCTATTTATATATGGATCGATTAAAATTATGGACCGAATAAAAAAGTTATTGGCTAAAAAATGTGGATTGAAAGTGTGTTGGATGGCGGAATCAACCACCTTAAAATTTGCAAAAGGAAAAAAAATACAAAAATTCAAGTTTAGTGGTTAAAGTGTAAGTTATGAATATATCTCTTTATTTTAATAGAAATCATAAAATTTAGGGACTAAGTTGAAACATTTGAAAACTTAAGTGACCTTAATCAGATTTGTATTCTTGCAATCGACCCTGCCCAAATCAGAACTCCTACATTCAATAGTCGGCGTCACCAGCCCTAATCCATTTCGGCCGCCGCGAAGAACACAGTTACACCACGAACACCGACAGAAGCCGTTCGACCCCATTCTAGCCCGTTCCGTCCGATAATCGCCGCCACGGTGCGCGTGAGCCGCATATATTGCCGTTCCGGCTGATAAATCGCTTCTTTTGGATTTTAGTAAACGCCAGCCGCTATATGCCGGAACTTTGTCGCGGTGGCCTCCGTTCCGGTTCCACTAACCCCGTTCTGGTCGCTATATCGGCGTTCCGGTGAACCGTGTGTTTGACACACGTTTTTTTCAATTGAAGCGTCTATTTCCCAATTCAGAATTTCGAGATCTTATTGAATTTACTGTTTGCGGACGCGTGACTGATACTGATCACGTAAGTAATTATTTGAGATATCTGAAAAGTATGTTAGATTTTATGGTTAATAGACGGATCACAGGTCACAATGGACGACCATTCTCTCTATAATTAGAATTTTGTAATTGTTTTTTTGTTTGCAGGTTATTGGTTTGGTAAGAAAATGAGCACTCCTCCTAATCGAAGGCTGCATGAGGATGGTGGCAATGGCAGTGGCAATGCCGGAGGTGGTGGCAATCACAGTCACTCCTCTGTTTTGAAGTACCCGCATGACGATCAGGGAACATATTCTGCTGTTGGTGGAAAGGCTGTGGGGTCATCCAGGCATGATTTCCACACTCCCTATGATATGGGTCAGGAAGGCCGTATCCCAAAGATTGCGCCACGTAATGAGTTGCGTGATGCAGAGAGGAGATCACCAATGCTTCCTAATATGTTGTTCAGAGTGTCAACACCAAATGACTCACACTCTGATCATGTTGCCTCGGAGACCAGGATCGATTTCAGGGATTCAAAGGATAGCACCAAGGAGATTAAGGTTGAGACTCGTGACATGAAGTCTGAATTGAGTTCTAAGGGTGATAAATACGATAGCAGAACTGATGACAATAAAGATAAGAAGAATGACAAGGATTCCTATTCTGAATTAAGAAGCAATGAAAAGATGGATAAGGATGGTTACAGTGGATCTAACAGCCAGTTGAACTGGAAAGATATGAAAGAACAACACCGTCTGAAACAATATCCTGATGTTCCTGGAGGAAATGTTGATGCCTGGCATACATCACGTATTGTCTTGCATGGCCATGTTGATGCTGCAAAGGAGGGTTTACATGTTGATAACAGGGACTCTGCTGAAGCTCGTGAAACAGTTGCGGAGAACAAAGTTGATATGAAAGGGGATGAAAAGTTCAAAGACAAAGATCGGAAAAGGAAAGAAGTGAAGCACTGGGATTGGGGTGAAAGGGATAAAGAAAGAAGTGATCGCCGGAACAACTTTCCACCTGCTAATAGCAGTATCGAGAACAAAGAAGTAGTAAGGGAAGAAAGAGAGGCTGAGAGGTGGGGGAAGGAGAAGGAAAAACTAAATGATAAGGAGAAGGAAAAACTAAACGACAAGGAGAAGGATCACGTCAAGAGGGAAGTGTGGAATGGTTCCGATAAAGAAGCTTCTCACAATGAAAAAGAACTAGCAGATATCCCTGGAAAATCCGTTGAACACGAAAGTTCAACATTGGAAACGAAGAAGAAAGACCATGATACCTGGAAAAATATTGAGAGGGAAGCAAGAGACAAGAAAAAGGAGAAGGATGCTGACGTGGAACCAGACAGACCTCACAAACGCATTAAATATCATGAAAAAGAATTGGATGATGGTGGTATGCATGCTGAAGGAGTTACAGAACGGGAAAGAGAAGTTTTCAGTTCTGGGGTTCAACAGAGGAAACGGATGTTGCGGTCAAGGGGCAGTCCACAAATGGGAAATCGCGATCCGCGTTTTAGGCTCTCAGCCAATGATAATGAAGGGTATGTTTCTTTTTCTCCCAGTGACAGCTTGAATTCTGATTGCATTCAGTACATGGTCATCAAAGCTTATTCATGCCTTTTATAATTATGCATTGAGCTTGTATTATGATTTTGCATGATTTCCATATCAATTTAATTTATAGCACCCAAACTTGCCATAAAAATATACTCATGATTTATCATGTGTTCTAAAATTTGGAAATTTTCTTGCCAGAAAAAAGCAGACGGATTCTAGCGTTATGCCGCAAGCATGTTACAGAACATGACTTTCTATTGGTTTCATTTATCTTTCTACGAGTTCAGTGTTTGTACATAACTTGTACATGAAACAGAATATACTTATCAACTCATTTTTTTATTTGACATTACTGTATGATGTTGATTAATTGGCTTTAGCCCTTATGTATTCTAAGTTTAGATTTTTGTGCCTGTGTGGGCTCTTTTTACTCACCCCTCCCATTTGACATAAATACATAAAGAATGAGTTAAGGTTACCAGAGCTGTGGTTTTCTAAAATTCCATTATAAACATGTTGGTCCATTTCAGCCGAATACCACTTCTGTATACTTAACAATTCAACTCTTTCTTGCCAACACCTCTTATCTCCCTAAGAGAACAAAATATTAATATTCATTATAAAAGATTCAACATTCTGCTCTATATTGCAACAAAACAACTTCATTTAGATAATATGACTACGCGTAAACCAAAAAAGATATATATATATATATATATATATATATATATATATATATATATATATATATATATATATATATATATATATATATATATATATATATATATATATATATATATATATATATATATATATATATATATATATATATATATA